GAATTAATTATCGTTTTTTTTAAATAATTAAAAACGCATTTTGGTGCAAACACCTGATTAAAAAAAGTTATCATCACGTGATCTTCCTTAGATCCTTATAATTTCTAGAACAAAAATTTATGAATTGTTAACCAAGACCAATTTTAAAAAAATTTATTTTTTTTAATCCTTCTTTAGGCTGTGTCCTAAATCTAAACAAAATTATAAATTTATCAATTTTGAAGAAAAAAAAAATAACATAAGCTATTTTTAATGTAAAAATAAAATGGTGTTTAAAATCATTTTTAAACATTAGCAAAAATTTATTTTATTTTTAAATAATAAGATATTAATAATTTTCAAAATTTATTTAATTTAGAAAAAAACTAGTATAAGTAATATAAAAATATGTTTATTTTCTGTATTTTATTATCGTTTTTTATGTTTGTTTTTTTCGTATTTTTTTTAATAAAAAAAATGATAATGAAAGATTTTGGACATGTTTTATAATTATATTAATTTGCTAAAATTTATAAAATTTGTAAGTATTTTTTTCAAAACATTTAGGACACAAACTTAATTTTTTTTTATAGTATACAAATGGATAACAATGTTTAATGATAAAACCTGTAAAATAAAGTTCAATATTTTTATAACCTTATTTAATTACTATTTTTTTTTTCGCTTTTAAGTAAATTATTTTTTAAAATTAAAATTGTATTTTTTAATCTTTTTTCTTCTTCTAAAATTAAGATAAATAAAGTTCAGTTCCCACACGTAATTTAAGGTTGTTATATAAAACTTCTTTCTTTCTTTAAAAAAATTATCAGAGAATTTAGGCTCTTTGAAGTTGTAAAATTTAAAATTAGACTGTAACATATCATCAGGAACTGGAGATCTCAATGATTGCTGTTATCTTAAGCAACATGCATATTTATAGACAAATCTAACTCTGATCTTTATTCATTGCTTAATGCTCTGCATGACTTAAGAATTTGCTTTTTATATTTATATTGGAAGTTCTATTTTAATCCTTTTTTTTCCTTCTTGTTTAGATAATTTTTAAATGTTCCTTTTAATAAATTTTTTTAGAAATGTTTTATAATGTAATTGTTATTCCCACACTCAGAGGTCTCTATTACCGTTCTGTCTAATTGGCTTCTCCATCCTTAGAAGAAAAAAAAAGAGTAAATGAAGACACTAATCCCTCAAGTACTCTTAATAATGCTATAGCTTCGCCTATTTACGACTCATATATCACTAGAGGCAATTGGTATTTGTCGAAAAGCCACCTAGAATAATTATCTTAGACGACATACATATACATCCATTATTTTGTAGCGTAACCCTAATTCGTATATATCCTAGTGGAGTTAAAAGGGTTAACTCAATATTTTATCCAAAAAATAATATTACGGATGTTTGAAGATTTTGGATATAGATGGCACAAAGTTTTGAACATCTATCATCGAAATCACGAGGTATAGGCGACATTTTTCTGGCTAAAAATATTGAGTTGGTCATTTTTAAGAATAGGCCCCTAATTAGAGCCGTTTAACAACATAACTCTAGATCAAATAGATGTGACAAACGAATGACGTCTCACGATCTGTTTTGACAATCATACAATATAATCATATATTTTAAATTTTTAAAAGCCTACTCATAATGTTTTATTTTTAAATTTCATCCAATCATATTTTCGTAATTTTATCTTTACCATTTTTTTTACTGAATTATATGATTTTATTAACGTACAATATAACGAATTCTGTGGACATTTAATAATTCAAAATTTTTTGTTCATTATTAAAGATAAGAGTATAATATTATAAATAATATGCTATTTTTTTTATATCAACTTAAAGTGCATGATGCCAAAATAAGTCATTGGGATTATTATAGAATACCTTTTTTAAACATTTATTTTATTTTATATTTATAATAAAGTTATAATTATATTTCACCATAATTATTCTAGATCCAAGCAGTACCACACCAATTTTGAATTTGACGTTAATAAGACATATTTCCTCTGACTTGTATTATAATTTTACAATTATTAAATTTTTTAAAATGAAACTGTATAATTATTAGATGACAAATAATTTAACACTAGTCGAGGGAGCCACTTCGGTAGCCCACATCGATGAATCAGACAACGAAGAAGATATTTTGCACATTTTTTACGATGATTCTTCTTCAACTTCAGCAACACCAACATCTAATAATCTTCAAGTCGAGATAGAAGATCCAGAAAATAATGAGAGAGCAGGTGATATCCATCAATTTGACACAAATTATAATAATACATTTTTCACTTTAACCAATATATTAACTCCATATCTACGTTAAATTATTTATTCTCCGATAATATACTAAATAATATATGTGAACAAAATTTAATGCGGTATTGTATATGATTTTAAAATTTATGCGGGAAGGATCCAACATTCATCAGAATTAGAGATAAGTGGGGAGCTATGTATGTAAAGTTGATAAAAAAGAAAAATATATTAATTGCCAAATGGTATGACAATAAGTTTGCGCACGTCATCTCATCATTTGTCGGTGTTCATCCGATTATTGAAGTGCCAACCAAATATATTAAAAATATATAATGAAGGTGTGGGAGGAGTCGACTTATATGATACGCTTGTTGGGCATAGATATTAAAGGTAAAAGGTTCTACCTGAAGAATCATTTTTCATCTCATTGATATATGTATGTAGTATGAATTCATGGCTTTTTTTTTTGTATAGGCGGCAAATATGCCATGTAAAAGAGAATAAATTCATGAAACTGATCAAATTTAAAACATTTATTGTCGACGCATTGTTATCGGCAGGCAAAAGTAGTAAAAAAAAAATCATAGATATACCTTTGAATGAACAATAATTTTTTTTTCTATAAATGGCTCCTATATCTGATATGAGATATGGCAACATTAGTCAATGACCGAATTCCTGCGAAAACGAAGCAAAGATACAAGTTATGCATAAATGCATACTCCAGAACAAAATGTGCAAAATATAATATATATTTATATTTTTAATCGTGATTTTTATAATAAATAGATATTTGTAATTTTTTTTTTGGATTACAAATATGCCTGATGATGTCAAATTGCATCATTATTTTTTTTTTTTTAACCTGTGTATTTAAAAATAAAATTTTGAAAAAATTTTGGGCATCTATGGAGTTGTATAAATGAATTATTTTTTTTTTAATTATTAAAAAGTTGGGTGTTTCAAAGCGTTAAAACGAGGTTTAAAATTACGAAATCTTAGATATTATAACTTTTAGGGCAAAAGCCCTAGCCGACACCTGCCTCTCTCGTATCTAAGACAATACTTTCCCCACTGGAAAACAAGATCATTCCCCCCCTCCCCCAATTCCCCCTTCCAAATATGGCGAATCCTCTTACCTAAACTAAAATATAAATAAGGTTTAAGTGGGTTAAAAATGGGGACACGAGCTTTAGGTACGCAAAATTTCATATTTACATCCAAAATTAAGATGGTATTATCACCAGAACCATGTTATAAAAAAATGTTGCTTACAAAATAATTATATTTTTTTTTTGTTTACGAAAAATAGCTCTATCTCTCACAGCAAATTTTTTGCGGAAGGCGGATATCTAATTTGATCTATGATAAAACAAAAATAAACTTTTAGGGAGAGTCTGTTCAGAAAATATATAAGCCTTTACCTGGGAAAAAAAAATCTATGGGCGTCTTTGCCCGTGCTTCTGCTTATGACAAGAAATATATTTGATTTGTTCTTAGAATTTCTATATTTAAATTCGCATCTCAGCGTCAATGCAATGTATTATTTTTTTTGAGCATTTTTACTGTACGCCATCATGTTTAAAATACCTACCATATGAATTTCCGACAATTTTTTTTCCATGTACCATTTTAAATTTTAATATAATTTATTTTTAAAATTTTTCCATATGGTATTATTACAATTTATAGGTTCGGGTATTACAAACATGATAGAATTATATTTCCGGTGAAAATCCGACGCGTTTCAATATATGATTTAAAGTTTGTAAAAAATCGGATACCCGCAGGGTGGGACCTAGGCCCGACCCGGCCTGGCCTTATTATAATCTTTAAAAAAAATCCGGGCCGGGCTGAAAAAAATCCGGGCCGGGCTGAAAAAAATCCGGGCCGGGCTGAAAAAAATCCGGGCCGGGCCGTACAAATGGTACCTCTGCAGGTCTCTGGATAAAAATAACACATTTCCGGAAATAAAAACACACTAAACTTAAAAAAATAAATTATTAAATCTTGAAAAAAAATAATGTAATAAATGAAGATCGTTTTATTTACACAATAAATTTATATGTTTTGAAAGATGATAGACTAAATGCAAACAATTTAAATTGTAATTTTTTCTTCTTCTATTTTTAATAAAATATATATATATCAAAATTCAAAAATATCACAAAAAAATTACAAAAAAATTACAATAAATACGAAATAAAAAAGTTTACTAACTGATATAATAAAAGTATCGAAAAAGGGAATATATATATTTTAAGAGATAAATGCTTATATTATAAATATATCAATATTTTTTTTTATCAAATTTGTTGTTTTGTAATAAAGATATCAATATTAGGTTAGTGTTGCTAAACGGCTAATTTTGAGCCGATTTCTTAAAAATGGCTAACTCAATATTTTTGCCCAAAAATGATTGGCCAAGGCTCCAGATTTTTCTAACAGATGTTCTAGACCTTTGTGCCATCTATGAGCAAAATACTCAGGCTTGTGTAATATTTTTCTGGATAAAATATTGAGTTAGCCGAGCCATTTAACAACACTTTATAATAGGGAATTCATATTTTTTTACTAATTTCTTGGACGAAATTAAGTATTTATTTACTAAGTTGAGTGAAAGACGTCATTATAAATAAGGCGTGGTCATGTTACTAATTTTTCGAGGTAAGATCCATTAAATAATAAAATGCAATTTTTTTTTATTTTGTTTCTACCTAATTTAGGTAAAAATTAATCTAATTTATTCTCGGGAAATCTGGAAGCCATACTATTCTTATAAAAATTTAGCTCAACTTTAGTAGCTTCCAATTCTTCTCTCAATATCTTGGATTCCTTGATGAGGTCCAGGTTTTTGGCTTCCAGGTCTTTCCTTATTCGCATCCTCCTCAATCTGCTGCTCTGCGCGTAGCACCTATTCTTGAGGGTGCGTCGTTTTTGTTTAAATTTGTTGATCTCGTCCTTCGTGTGCCCGTGTAACTTTTGATTCAAATCTCTGACAGTTATATTCACCAATTCCTTGTCACTAATCAGGTTGTCGCCATTATCGTATTCGGTATCGTTAGATTGATCAAAGGTGTAGGCAGAATTTAGGGAAGACGCCAAACGCTTTCTATAATTTTTATCGGGTTTACGCGAGGAGTTGTTGCCATTAAAATCGCCAATGGAATCCTTCATATAATCATACGGGTGCTCCATTTTGTCCAAAAAATGGTGCAGATTTTTATTTGTCCCATTATCGTTATTTAGGTTATTGTTGGTATTACTACCTAAACTTCTAAAATCGAGTGGTGGAAGTTTCAACGTGTTAAGATTATTACTAATTTTGTCGTCCCCATCTCTATTCCGTAAACTTGCGTTTCCGGTATTTCTCATTACATCTTTCGCCGAAGAATTTATGGTAGTGTCTAGGGAATCAGAGTACTCTTCTTCACCTTCGTTAATAATATACTCCGCATTATAATCGTCTTCATCCGATGACATTATTGAATTAGATCTAGAGTCCAAATTTAATATTTCGGAGAGACGTTTGGCCTTATGATCGATTCCGTTCACATGTCTATCAGCACAAATATCAGAATCGAGTTCATCACATTTATTATTATTTATATCTATATTATTATTATTATTATTATTATTATTTATATTCTTATCATTGTTGTTATTATCAGTTTTGGTATTATCATAATCAACACTAACACATCTTTTACCATTAGTGTTCCTGTCATTATTCTCATGGATCTTTAATAAAGAATCCTCAATCGATAATGGCGGTTCCATATGTTTACTGTTTACTGAATTTGGTTCAGTGTCAAGTTCTAAGTTATTGTCATTTTCATCATTGAATTTATTGTTATAGTTAGAATGAAGAATTCCATGATGGGTAGGAGTCTTGATATTTTGATCATTGTAATCAATTCTGCTTGGATCAGATTCAAAATAAGGATACCTTATATTAGAAATAAGCGAACTATCGAAGGAGGGAGATAATTGAAAGTTATTATATTTTTGATAACATGATGGAAGAGGCAGAGTAGGCAGACTAACAACATCGTTGAGGGAAGGTGAAGTAAACAACATATCTAAATACCTAGGTGGCTCTCTAGGATCCACGTCAAATGCTTTTCCATGGAAATGGGCAACATTGTCGTAATTTTCATAATGATTACCTTTATATCCGGTGTGCATACCAGGTATGGGATAGTAAAAATTTGAACTCTCTTGTCCGTTGTGAAACATAATTTCTTTAGGATCTGGCTCCTCCCCATTCTGCGGCGAAGAGTCATTTATTAAGCCGTTGTCAACATTTTTGGAAATCTCTCGAAGGGTATGCATTTGATTGATCGTTGGAGAATTGATTGAATCCAAAATATTTTTTTCCACTTGGTAGAATTTTTCTGCATTATTTCTTCTAATCCTCAAGTCGTTTTTTTCGTCATTAAGTTCTCTACTATAATATGAATTTGTTTTTGAACAATCCTTAGGATTGGTATCGACAATATTGGTTTTACTTGGAGTATGGTGGTTTTCAAGAAAACTTTCGTGATACGTTTGATGGGTGTCAAAATAGTCTACCATAAATCCGTTGTCTATGAAGTGAGGAGCATTACTTCTAGAATTTAAAAATTGTTCTTCTATAGAAGAACCATTGTACCCTCTTTCTATATTACTTTCATTGATATTACCGCCGAAATGTCTAGTGTGTACGAATTCGGAATTATTATTAGTATTGTTGGGATCTCCAACATTTGCGTCGCGTGGACAGACATCGTAGTATCCCTCAATCATTTGCTTTTTGTTATTAATAGCGCTTTCGCGATTGGAGTTCGCGATCTTTGCAAGGATTTTATCGTTCTCAACATCTTGCCCAACCAAAAAACATTTCTTAACGGTGCTCATGTTATTTTTACCGTGAGTATCATTTCCATTACGCGTGTTGGAAAAGGATGATTCTTCTTCATTCAGTCTATCGTTTGTCGCTCTAACGAATTCATTGGGACATCTATCTTGTATTAAACTATGATTGTCTACATACATTTTATCGATTACACCCGCGTGAGAAGAACTAGCAGTGCCAGCGGTAGCCCTATCATTTATATTTTCGTAATACGTATTAATCTCGTCATTGTAACGAATGTCATTTAATTTGGTTTGGGATGAGTTGAATTTGGAATTAAAAAATGCACGGTGGTTAGAATCAAAATCATTATTGCTATTTATTCTAGGTGATATTTGGTTCAGATATTCGGAATGATTATTATCGTATTGCTTAGGTAATTCGTTGTAGCGAATATTCTTGTTTACATTGAAGGAATTTGTATCGACTTGTAAATTAGAAGGAGTTATGCTTTCGGTATGAACGAGTTGATTCTCTGTAACCAAAACGTCCGTATATTCTGTGGGGTCGTGCGTTAGAACTCTATTTATATCGTCTTTCAAGTTATGGTTTCTATTGTAGTCTTTGGCGGAGGAGGGGTTGTTGTCATAATTATTATTTTGAGTAAGATGATCATTTTGGGTATTATTATTATTATTATTATTAAAATAATTGTCGTTTCTTAAGCCATTATCCCGTCCATTCCACCAATTCTCGGCTGCGATCCTACTTTGGGCTCCTGTGTGATCATTATAAATTAAATCATCCATCTCTTTTTTTATGATGGGCATCTGAAAATCGGATTTATTGGCGATAAGATTTGGATCTGTTTCACGCATTGTTCTCATCATATCGTTTAGACAATAGTTATTTTCGTTTTGAAAAGCCCATTCATTAATATGGGTTGATGTAATCATTTATATCTAATATTTTTTTAAAAAAATAAAATATTAAAGAATAATTGATATAAAAATTATTTCGAATTAAAAATAAAAACCACGATTTTCGGGCCATGACCTTCTCAGGATTTTAAAATCTTATCTATGATTGATAGGGGGGGGGGTTGATAGAGTGATGCTTAAAGTTCAAAAAAGGTTGGGAAATATTAACTTAATTTTAAGAGTTATATGCTTTAATTTTATTCAATAATATAATCATTATTGTCTCGAATTCTTATTCAACTGGGGTGAATTTTTATCTTAGACCTGATTTTCAGCATAATTTTACATAAGAGATATGTGGCTGGTCTAGCGTATTTAACTCTACATATTTCTCTTCAAGATCAGTCATTTGGATACTAATTTACAATTTTAACGAAATTTTTAAATAGAATAAGATCCTTATGATGAGGCAACATATCAAAATAGGAAATATTAAATTACATAGAAGGCTTGTTAATTTATCGTTTAAAATTATTAGGGAAATATAATACCTAGACTAACGATTCATTCATTAAAAGTGTACATCAATGCAAATCAGCTGGATACGCCATCTTGCTTACACTAATCATTGTTAAAATTTTAAACGAGAGCCCAATTTATTCCTATATCTGATCCAAACTTTATTTAAGAATTACCGCATCATCGAGATAATAAGGAAGCAAGTTATCAATTTATTAGTAGTTTTTTAACATTTACTATATGTGTTACCAAGATGGCGGGTCCAGCTGATTTGCTTATAACGACGCTTATAAATGCATTTTAATGAATGAATCGTCAGTCTAGGTATTATATATGTCATTGGAAAATTCATAAAAATATTTTATGCAAATTTTTGGATTCATGATGTCCCCTGACATTATAATATTGCGATGGAAAAATTCAAAATGATACAATACATTCTGCGATAATGAGAAATAATTTTTTGAAAAAAAATTTACAAAAAAAAATTTGAGAGTTTAATTTCTCAATTTAAAAATATTAAAATGTCAATCAAAGCATAAATGTCAATCAAAATTTATAAATGTCAGGTAAAGATTTTATTTTTAAAAATTTAAAAACTATTATTTAAATTTTATTTGTGTATAATAAAAGATTAATTTAATCTGACAATCCTAAAATTTCCCTTGATTTTTCCTTAAGTATTATCATGAACCAAGACTTGATTTTAGAAAAATGGGTTCGGTTAAGGTTCACAAGTAGATAGCGTAGATTCGGGGATAGATTCAATAATCACTTCTAAACTCAGTTCTCCGCTCCGGGTTTCCCTCGCCGCCTCTGCTTCCTAGTAATTAAATTCTCCAATTTTTATACACCATTCATTATCTACAAAATGATTCTACTCAAAGCTCCTGCACTTATATGAACCGTAGACACAAAATAATTAAGAAATCCTAGATCTTGATCCATTAGAATCCTAGAATTATATATGAATTCTGGAATTTCCTCCTGGACTAAAATAAATCTTCTGTTTCCGGTCCCTAATATTTCTTTAAAAAGTGGTTCTGGTTCTTAAAATTTGACGGTTTCGAGAGTTCCAAGGTTCGGATAAATATAGTTCTGCACAGCTACAGCTATCTTTGACATTTCCTAAAATTTTCTTCAGTTTAAAAAGAAAGTCATATACTTCGGTTCCCCATATCTTCTCTCTCTCTAAGGCTTTCGCCACTTCTAAAGCTTAATTCTTAGCTGTCACAATTCTGGACCTATAAGATGACATTAAAATTTGGAAGAGCAATTAACAACACTTGGTATTAGGAGATCCAACTGCACACTTCAGAATGATAGGGATAACTATTGCCCTCCGTTTACCTTATTCTAGTGATTTACTAGAACAATTTTTCATATAAGTCCATATACTAAATGAGACCTTGAATGTAGTCAGCAATTTCTAGTAAAAAAATCTGGGCCCTATTTGTATGAGATGAGACATAACCATCTTCGTCGTTATTAGTTGCTCCTAAACTAATTCTAAAGGGTACCAACCTTTGCGTTAGAAGTTTTCCTAACGTCGACTTTCCAAGTTCTAAAAAATAAAGAAGGAAGCAAATATTTTAAGTTATATACTCTGAAAGCAAATAGTTTTAGCTCTTCGGACAATAACAAAAGGTCTGACAAAATTATAAAATAGGAAAGGGTAGATAAAAATGGAAATATTAGGCTATTTAGGTGAGCTCGTTTGTATATTCCAGAGACCTGCAGGTCCGGCTCTAAGCTCGACCCGAGTACAAAAGCTGGGTTGTATATTTTAATTTTTTTAAAAAAACCCGGGCCGGGTTTGAAAATGTAAAACTCGAGTCAGGCCGTAAAATATTTTGGGCCGGTTTGCGCAAATGGTATCTGCAGGTCTCTGATATATTCTATAAACGAAACCGGCCAAAAAAGAGATATGGATGGTCATCCAAATCTTATATCTCCCCTTCCTTCCCCTTGCAATGTTCCTTAGATATCTATGCTCGTAAAATATTATAATTTGACTTGAGAACTGACCTCTGACAATTTTTTTTTCTCTTCAACATCTAGAATTGGTCTACGTAATACAGATGCGTTTCTTAAAATTGTGTCCAAAAACTTGCAAACTTTAAAAAAAAACTTTAAGGAAACCTAATGATTAGTCTCAATATTTTAGCCTGAAAAATATTGCCTAAGCCATGAGATTTCGCCAATAGATGTCAAAACTTTTGTTCCTTCTACAAGCAAAATATTCAGGTTAGCGTAATATGAATTCTGGATGAAATATCGAGTCAGCCGTTTTTAAAAATCGGCTCAAAACGAGCCGTTCAACAACGCTACTAATGATAGAGTTTTTTTAAAAATTTTCGCAAAATTGTATTTTGACCGCATATTACTTTTTAATAAAAAAAAAAAGGAAGGTGTTTTTCGATAAAGTTTTAAAAAAAATTTCGAAATTCAATTTTTGGTTATTTTGGACACAGTCTAATTATTTTTTAAAAAAAAAGGAAAGAAAGAAGTAATTAAATAGCTTTTTTTAGCGCCATATTTTTCGGAAAAATATCGCGCCATTTCGGATCTAATTATAATATCAAAAAAGTACGCAATCCAATTAAAAAGTACAAGTTTGGATAATGGCATTGTGGGGTGGGAAGTTGGGCTATTTTTTTTAGGGGGGTGGGGATATTTTTATGTCACAAAAGTTGGGGAAAAAATGGAGAATGTGCTGCTTAAGTTGGAATAGAGCTCCCTAAATTTTTCTGAATGGGCCCATTTCTATGTGCCGATAGGTGATATTTTTTTTATGTGAAGACCAATCATTTTTTTTTAAATTAAGAACTATGTGTTACACGAGTAACCTTGAATTCATAGTGGGGCGATTGCGATCGCGATTTAACAGCTGATTGATTTTTAAAATCTGTTTATGAGATCAATTTTTATTTGTTGATATTAATTTTATCTTTAATTCAAATTTTAATAATAATCTAAGAAATAATGACTTTAATAAAGAATAATTGATCTCATAAACAGATTTTTAAAATCAATCAGCTGTTAAATCGCGATCGCAATCGCGCCACTATGAATTCAAGGTAAAATTTGATAATCGCTAAGGGATTGCCATCATATCCAGGGGATGGTTGATGGAATAGCAAAAAGCGCGACTTAAAACTTAGCCTAAGATAGTGCCACCTCCTCCTGTTATTAAAAAAATAGGAAGTCCCGAATTCTAATGATTAAGGCTAATCCAATGGTACACCAATTATAGTTTAAATCTTATAAAAATATTTTATCGCAAAAGAGGAATGAGCCACCTCTGCCATAACTCCGGTTTCCCTCCCCCCTAATACAGGAATAAGTTTTTCCTTAGGACTTTTAAAAAATTTAGTTTTTCGTAACAGGCGGAATTCTTTGCAGAACTTCCGAGTTCGCGACGAAGCAGTATTATACTATTCGCATTTTTCTAAGAAAAAATAAAATACGTAACTGGCAGTAGTATACTCGTAGAAACAATAGAAAAGTCAGCCAAATATTATAACTATTTTGGATCAAATTCTTAAAAGAAAATTTCTTGACACCTTCGTAAAGTTTCTGAGCGAAGTGAAGGGTATATTTTTTTCTGTTAGTTCCTCAAAAAAATTGTTTGAATAATTATCAAAAAAATAAATAAAAATAAAATAAAGAATCTGCCAAATTTATCACAAGTTTAAATTTAGGTAGATGCGTTAATCTAGGTAGATGCGTTATAACATTAAATTACATAAATTTAAATAAAAGAGAGAAAAGTTACGATATTGTTACTTAGAGTAATTTCTATATTTTTAGCCGTTTTAAACCGATTTTTAGCCAATTTAATCAATTTATAGCCGGTTAAAACATCGGCTAAACCCAGTTTTTAGCCCTAAAAAAATATAGCTTTTGACCCCCAGGGGTTTTCTTAATGATTGGCCAACTTCAAAATTTCGAAGAAACTTAATATAAAATTAAAATTCCTTAAATATTAAACGAGTATTTTCTCCAGCAGGGACACCTGAAGATTAAGCCCGAATTAGCCAAAAATTTTAGCCATTACTCGACTATAATAAATCACGCGTTAAATATTTTAATCGGCAAAAACCTATCATAAAAAACCTATTTCCACGTTTTTCACCTGTCCGAATATCCATTACCCCTTCATCAAAAAATAATATAACTCACGAGGGGGTGATAGGGTTAGGGAAAATAAACCTACCTTATAGCGGCGGGAAGAAAACCTATATTTACGCGCCATTTTTTTAAAAAAAACGGTCAAATTCAAGATTTTAGCTGAAGAAAAAAGGAACAAAACTTTTCTAACATCGATATGCGAAATCTCGAAGTTTAGTTGATATTTTTTAAGGGCTAAAAATCATGATGTCGCAAGAGGTTTTTGTCAACCTCTTACCACCTTATATCAATAATGACCATGACCATGTCACAAAAAAAAATTGACAATTTTTCAAAGCAAAATTTAAAAGAAAAAAATTAAGATAAAATCCACAAACTCCTCT